CTGGCTATACTTTTTCCAACATGGATTTGTTTATTTATTTGGTGATCCATAGTACTTTTAATGTTCTCCAACACCATAACTCAAATGCATCAATTTCATGATCTTCTTTATTCATTGTCCAACTTTCACATGCACATGAAGTTACTGAAAATATCATGGCTTCAGTCAGGGACACCTTAGTCCTCAAACTGACATCTTTGTTCTTGAACACTATAAAGAGGTCTTGTGCAGCAGATTTGCCTAATGCAATACATTGTTTGATTTCTTGACTGCTGCTTCCATGAATGTTAATGGTTGATCCAAGCAAAATGAAGTCTTTGGCATCTTCCATCTTTTATCCATTTATATGGATTTTTTTTAATTGGTCCAGTGGTGAGGAATTCTGTTCTCTTTACAGTGAGATACAACCCATACCAAATGCTGTGGTCTTTGATCTTCATCAGAAAGTATTTTAAGTCTTCTTGGTTTTCAGGAAGCAAGGTTGTATCATCTGCGTATTGCAGCTTGTTAGTCTACCTCCAACCCTGTTGCCACATTTTTCTTTATAAAATCCAGCCTCTCAAATTATTTGCTAAATGTACAGATTGAATAATACAAGCCTGGACCACACCTTTCCTAATTTTAAACCATTCAGTGTTTCCTTGTTTGGTTAGTACATCTGTCTTTTGGTCTATGTACAGGTTCCTCATGAGCACAATTGTTTTGGAATATTTGCTCACCACACTGTTATCCATAGCTTGTCATAATCTATATCAAAAGCCTTTGTATGGGCAATAAAGCACAGGTAAACATATTTCTGGTATTCTATATTTTCAGCCAGGATCCATGTGACATCCCTCATTCTATCTCCTTGCCTGAATTCAATTTGAACCTCTGGCAGGTCCCTGACAATGTACTGTTGCATCCTATTTTTAAATTATCTTTAGCAAATGTTTACTTGCATGTGATATTAATTATATGGTTTGATGATTTCGGCATTCCATTGGGTCACCTCTCTTTGGAATGGGCACAAATATGGATTCCTTCCAGGTAGCTGTTTCCAAATTTCTTGACATCAATATGTGATTGCCTACAATTTCTAATCAGTTTGTCAGAACATTTCAATTTGAATTTCATCAATTTCCACAGCCTATGCCTTCAGTGTACCTAAGTAGGTTGCCTTGGCAGAGCCATACCAAATGGTTTTGGGAGCCATATATAGCTCACAGGTCGACATTCTCCACCCCTGATTACACTGATGTCTTCAGAGCAGTTTGGATTACTTCCTTAAGTGCCCTCACCATCACCTCTTAATAATATACTATCTCTTTTAATTAAAAAAAAAAATGTATAGTTGCTTTTATTAATTTTTATATTGACAGTAATGATATATTGGGTTAAATAAGATTCTCCATTAAAAATTACACATTTATATTTTTATTTTACTATTAAGGCTATTAGTTTATTAATTATTTTTATATTGATAATAATGATATACTGGGTTAAATAAGATTCTTCATTAAAAATTTTACATTTACATGTTTTATTTTACTATTAAAGCTACAAAATAAGCATTTTAAATTACATTATTGATTTGCATTGCACTTGTACTAGAACTGTGGTAGACAAAATATTTACTTTACAGAAGTTACAAAAGACATAGTAGTTAAACAAATTATGATGAAACATATTCAGTGAAACCTGTTAGCAAGAATATGATAAGGTTGCCTTGTTCTTTCTGGGGCTTGAATATTTCCATCTTTGACTGAGTTCTTAACCACTTCTTTTTTTTCTCTCTATTAAGGATTCTAGCTCATAATTTTGTTGTCATTAAGTGGCATCGAGTCAGTTCTGGCACACAGCGACCCTGTCTGGGGTTTTCAAGGAGCAGCTCATAAAAATACAGTGACATTTTCTTCTCTGACAGGTTTCTAATTTTAACAGGTTTCAGTTTT